TTGATTCCCTTCAGTTTGATAACACCACCTCTCCAGACCTACAGCTCACCGTGGGAGCAGTGATTGTGGAGGAAATGAGAGCAGCCATCGAGAGGCAGACTGGCTTTCAGTGTTCAGCTGGAATCTCACACAATAAGGTGAAGGCTAATAGCAGATTTCAAAGAGAAACATAGATCCTGTCCTTAAATACAGCATGATATGAATGGGGCATTTAAGTCATTACATAGATACTTTGCAACATGTTTTCTGTTTGTTTGTTTATAATACTTTTATTGATTTCTTTTTTTTTAATATATATTTTATTGATTTTTTACAGAGAGGAAGAGAGAGGGATAGAGAGTTAGAAACATCGATGAGAGAGAATCATCGATCAGCTGCCTTCTGCACACAACACACTGGGGATGTGTCCGCAACCAAGGTACATGCCCTTGACCGGAATCGAACCTGGGACCTTCTAGTCTGCAGGCCGACGCTCTATCCACTGAGCCAAACCGGTCTTGGCATACTTTTATTGATTTCATAGAAGAAGGAAGAGAAAGAGAGAAACATCAATGATGAAAGAGAATCATTGATCAGCTGCCTCCTGTCGCCCCCTACTGGGGATCAAGTTGGCAACTTGGGTATGTGCCCTGACTGGGAATTGAACCAGCATCAAACCACTGACCCACTCCAGCCTGGCTGGGTTTCTATTTAAAATTCTTGTTGAGGACTAAATAAAAGCCCAAGTAATTCTTTAACATGAGAATCACATTGAACATGTACTTTCTTTTCTTTTTTTTTTTCTTTTTTAATATATATTTTTTTTATTGATTTTTTTACAGAGAGGAAGGGAGTGAGATAGAGAGCTAGAAACGTCGATAAGAGAGAAACATCGACCAGCTGCCTCTTGCACACCCCCTACCGGGGATATGCCCGCAACCAATGTACATGCCCTTGACCGGAATCGAACCTGGGACCTTTCAGTTCGCAGACCGACGCTCTACCACTGAGCCAAACCAGTTTCGGCTGAACATGTACTTTCTTAAGAAGCAAGCTGAGCCCTGGCTGGTTTGGCATCTGCCTGAGGACTGAAGGGTCCCAGGTTCGATTCCAGTAAAGGGCACATGCCTGGGTTGCGGGCTCCATCCCCAGTGGGTGGTGTGCAGGAGGCAGCTGATCAATGGTTCTCTCATCATTGATTTTTCTATCTCTCTCTCCCTTTTCCTTCCTCTCTAAAATCAATAAAATATAATAATTATTTTTAAAAATTAGTTTAAAAAAAGAAGCAAGCTGAAAAATTTGCAGAAAATGCTTATTTATATAGTTGCATCTAAAGTATTTCCTTAATGACTGAACTATCTATAAAGGAGGAGGCTAGTCTTTGAATCTATGTATTTTCTTTTTATTTCCTGAATATTCCAGTATTATCTGATTTTTAAGTTTCTTATTTTAGATTTTTAAATTGATTTTTGGAGAGAGAGGAAGAGAGAAAGAGAAACATCAAGGTGAGACCAGAACATCGATGGGCTGCCTTCTGTACATCCTCTACTGGGAATTGAGACCAAAACCTGGGAATTGAACCGGGCAATCTTTCAGTGCATGGCCGATACCCAGTCATCTGAGCCACACTGGCCAGGGCTTATTACAGTATCTAATTTCTTATGTGGAGTGATCTAGGTGTTTTATGCTTTGCCTATTCCCCCATTCCTAATAAGAGAAATGAAATAGTAAAGTTTTATTAATTTGAACACTATTTTGATTTATGGGCTATGGGCCCTTTCAATCCAGGGGCAGAGTAACTGATTTTCTGATTACAGTTTAGTGAGGGCCTGGGATGTTCATCCCTTTTGACTAAGCTCAATAGTTGCGCAGTGGCAGAGTACTGGTTACTACCTTCTCCCCCCTCACTCCAATAAGAGGGAAGTTTACAAACTACCCAGAAGAGTTTGGGTGTTTTTGTTTTGCTTGTTTTTCTGGTTGGGTGGAGGAAAAGATAACAAAAGTCCAAATGTAATAATTTAAACCAGACTGTTTCCCAGTAAAAGTTCCAAAGAATCTCTCCAATAAACTTAAAGAACCATTTTATACTTTCCCCAGCAATATAAGTTGTGAAATGGTACCACTGAAGTATTTTATTCTTTGAGAGTTCTCAAGGATTTAAATTTGTTTCATTTTGAAGTTTTGTGTATAGTATAAGATGTCTACTGTTGGAGGATGACTCTGAGCCCAGTCATTATGAGAGATACTAAATTATGGCAATATCTATTAAATCCAGGACTCAAAATAGACTAACCATTAATCAAGAAATGTAAATAGCCTGGTTGTGTAGCTCAGCCGTTGAGCATTAACCCAGGAACCAAGAGGCTGCTGGTTCCATCCCCTGAGGCTTCTCTCTCATCAGTGTTTCTATCTCTTCCTCTCCCTCCTCCTCTCTCTAAAACATTAAAAAAAAAAAAAAAAAGAAAGAAAGAAATGTAAATAAACGGGTAAAACAAGTTTGTTTCAGCACTTTCATATGGACATGTTGAGAAATGCATCGTAAGTTTCTTCTGCAGCTTCTCTGCTTTTTACCCTCAAAGTGGGAGAAAAGGGGTGGGAAATTACTAAAGGAAAACCAATAATGGAAGATCTGGAAAAACTATGCGGATAATGATGGTGGGTCATATTTTCCACTAAGGGTATTGTGCCCAACCCATGTTTAGAGATGTTGAGTTTCTGGTTTGGTTTTTAATGTGGATACCATTAGTTACAGCCTTAGCTGTGCCTGCATGTGTATGTGTATGTTACTATTCACCAGCTCTCTGTGAGGGTGTTGTCAGCAATGAGGTTTTTACACTTTCCATCCTCCAGGTCCTGGCAAAACTGGCCTGTGGGCTACACAAGCCCAACCGCCAGACCCTCGTCTCACATGGGTCAGTCCCACAACTCTTCAGCCACATGCCGATCAACAAAATGTAAGTATTTGGGGAGCACCTTCAGTTTCACTCAGAGACATCTGAAGGCATTCCTCTGGTTGTCGTTTCTTCTGTTCCTTAAAAAGGATTGGAGCCATGGAAAATAGGTACTAGGGAGGTGAGAGGGAGATAACAGAAAATTTTGAAAAGCACAGATTTTTTTTCTTAATGAAATTTCAATTCTGGATTAGCTGTGGAAGATAATACTAAATTTTCAAAAATGAACTGATTTTTAGATGTATGTTTAACTTCCCTCTAGACTTTCTATTCAAATCTGTTACTAAATAACAAACAAACAGGAATTTTACTTCTTCTAATATCATATCAAGGTATTCCAGGCTACTGAATTGCTCCTAAACCTAGGCATGAAAATCCAAACAAAATAAATAACTAGGTTGTGCCTACCAATTGTGTGTCCTTGACAAAGGCTTATAATATTGTTGAAGGGATAAGATAGGACAGTTCAAAGCAACTGTGAAAGTGTTATCATGAGAGTGTATGTAATTGCTAAATGAATTGTACAGGGAGTTATCAGAGCTCACAGAAGAGTAGTCTCAGAAGGATTTATGAAAGAGGCAAGGGATTTGGCATAATTTGGAGAGTCAGATGGGAATAGAAGAGCAATAGCGATTTTGGACAACATTTGAACACAAAGAGGGAAAAAGTCTGAGGTATTTTTAGTGAACTGGGACATAAACTAGTTTAGCTGTTTATGGAAATAGGACTGAAAAGGTCAGTTGAAGACAGATTATAGAAAGTCTCTAAGGTCAGGCTGATGATTTTTCACTTTATTAAGTATAAAAACTTTTATTTAGCCTATGGATTTGTTTGGGGTATGTATTTAGTAAAGTCTAGGCCTATCTTTAGGTTAAATTTAATCCCAAAATGGGACAATAGATTCCATACAATTGAAAGTTTTCTACATGATTGAATTAATGATGAATTAATGACTTTAACCTTTTATTTTTGCTATTGTTAAACTTCCCAGGTCCTAACTCCCAGAGTATCTGAATTCCCAGAATCATCTAGTCTTACACTAGATATTAATATTCTATAGGACCTGTATGTGCTCTCATTTTTCCTGAATCTTCTGGGGAGCTCCTTACACAAGCAAATTGTCTTTGCTGCTAAATAGATATTTAGGATGTGACCTGTGAGTTCTTTGTCTTTTTTGTTAGTCGAAGTCTTGGAGGGAAACTCGGGGCCTCTGTCATTGAAATCCTGGGGATAGAATACATGGGTGAACTGACCCAGTTCACTGAATCCCAACTCCAGAGTCATTTTGGAGAGAAGAATGGGTAAGTGATTCCTAATACTTTTCAATCATAACTCTTATGGGAATACTAAATTCAAATATAGACAAAGAATTTAGTGAAGTCTAGGCCTATCTTTAGGTTAGCATTTGCTCCCTGAGGTAATTTTATTGGTCATTTTGCTTTAAAATATTAGATAACTATGAAAAAAAATTAGATAATTATGGCCTGTCAGTCTTGTGTAGTTTTTTCATGTACCTGAATAGGTTGATAGGAACTGTTACTTTGAAGCTTAGATATGTACATCATCTATATATGCTAAGATGCTGATATTCACTTAAAATCTTTCTATTTAGGCTTAGTAAGTATCAAAAAATTTGGGGATATAAATCAGTGGCTTGCTTGGCACTTTTCCAAAAATATAAAAAATAACTTGGTTTTGAAAAACATAACTAACATTCCTCTCTTTGGCAATATATTGCACTGAAATTCATTGGAAAGGGCAGGGATTCTGTCAGAGGTAAAGTATATTATACTTAATTTTGGACAAATGTTTCCCCTTTCATGAAGATGATAAAAGGATAGTATAATATAGGTATTTTGTTTTGTTTTAATAAGAATTATCATTTGTTTTCACCTTGAACTTTTTGGCTGGTTTTATTAGATCTTGGCTATATGCTATGTGCCGTGGAATCGAACATGATCCGGTTAAACCCAGGCAACTACCCAAAACCATTGGCTGCAGCAAGAACTTCCCAGGAAAGACAGCTCTGGCTACTCGGGAACAGGTAGGCAAGCTTTTTTTTTTTCCTTTCTGGGTGCCAGAACCAACCATCACCAGCTGCCCATCTACCAACACATGCTCCCAAAATCTTGATGTCAATTCCACATGTAGAGCAATTAAGCTGCCCAACGTGTGCTGCTCATGACAGCAACCCCCTTTTAGGCTGGCATTCTTGGCAGAACATTGCCTCTTTCACGGGGGTTAGGTTTCGGTACTGCAGAAGGTTTAAAAAGTTAGATGGGAACTTTATGCTGTAAAGTATGAAGTAAATAGATTTCTTTGTGTGTGTTGAAAATTGACTAGTTTTAATGTGATTTGTTATTTTTTCCTTGTTTTTTCTCCTGAAAAGAAATAAAAGAGTAGGTGAAAACTTGGGAGGCCCATGATATGCCTTAAGTTTGTATCTTCCCCCCCCCTCTTCTCAGAGCTGGAACATGCCTGAAATTCACCTGATGGCATGCCAGCAGGAAAAGAAAATGAAAAATTAGAGCTAGAGCAGGCCAGAGTACTGAAAATTTCTATGACTTGTTGGTCCCTTTGTTATAGGGAAAACTTTCTTGAACACTTCCGTTTAGGGGAGAGCTTAACAAATCTACCATCTAGTTCTATAATAAACTACAATTTCAAAATGAAAGATTAAAATATCAATAATTTTTTTGTAGGTACAATGGTGGCTTTTGCAATTAGCCCAGGAACTAGAGGAGAGACTGACTAAGGACCGAAATGATGTAAGATTTTCTTTCTTTATTGCTGTGGTGAGCTTTGGGATTTAATATACCAGTTTAAATATCTTACCTTATGGAGTAGAAACAAAGATACAAAAAGATACCAGCTAAGAACTTTTAAGAAATATTTTACCTGCTTCCATAAAACTCAACATGATCTTCGAAAGCCTGAATCTATAAACATAAGACCTGATATTCCTGTCTCTCTCATTACCATTTGCCTCTACTTTTTTGTGTATATCCTTTTTTGTTAACTTTCAAAAAATTTATTTGTTGATTTTTAGAGAGGAGGGGAGGAGAGAAATATTGATTTGTTGTTCCTCTTATTTGTGCATTCATTGGTTGTTTCATGTATGTCCCCTGACTGGGATTGAACCTGCAACCTTGCTGTATATCAGAATGATGCTCTAACCAACTGAGCTACCCCACCAGGGCTTTGTGTATTTCTTTATTTAACTACTTCTGCAGCCCTGAATAAACAGTGGATCTTCATCAGAGTACAGAGCCATTAAGCAGAACATTTAGAGACTGCGCTGTAAATTATTGGACTTAAACATAATCCAATAATTTACAAAGAAGCACTGACAAAGAAGTACTGACAATTGCCCTGGCTGGGTGATTCAGTTGAGGGTTCAATTCCTGGTCAGGGCACATACCTAGGTTTCAGGTTCACTCTCTGGCCAGGGTGTGTATGGGAGGCAACAGATCAATGTTTCTCTCTCTTCCTCTTTAAATCAATAAAAACAGTTTTAGCTCTAGCCGATTAGTGCATCAGCCTACAGACTTAAGGGTCTTGAATTCGATTGCCAGTCAAGGGCACATACCTCAGTTGCAGGTTCAATCCCTGGCCACCTTGTTGGGGCTCCTAATCAATGTGTCTCTCTCATGTTGATGTCTCTCTCTCTCTCTCTCTCTCTTTTTCTCTCTCTCTCTTCCCACGCCCTCCCTTCCACTCTCTCTAAAAACCAATGGGAATAATATACTCATTCCTCGGGTGAGGATTAAAAACCCCCCACAGTTTTAGAGACAGAATGTTGTCAAAGACCTGATATCTGATGATTCCTTTCTTTATCTACTCTCCTAAAAAAACAAATCCAGCTTTATTGATGTATATTTTACATACCATAAAATTTATTCGTTTAAAAAAATTCACCCATTTACAGTATACAGTTCAGTGGTTTTAGTATTTTCCAGTTGTTCAACTATTCCACAATCAATTCAAAAAAGAAATCCTATACCTATTAGCAGTTACTCCCCCAGCCTTAGGCAATCACTAAGTTTCTGTCTCTCTAGACTTACTATTCTGGTCATTTCATATAAATGTAATTATACAGTATGTGACCTTGTGTGAGTGGTTTGAAATCTTTAAGTTAAAATAATATTTTATTCCTTTTTATTTCTGAACATTCTATTGTATAGATATTACATTTTGTTTACCCATCCAACAGTGAATGGATTTTGAGTTGTTTCCACTTTTTGGCTATTATAATAGTGTTGCTATAAGCATGTATTTACAGATTTTTGTATAGACATCTGGTTTTCATTTCTCTTGCTCCTATATAATACCTAGAATTCCTGGGTCACATGGTAACTCTGCTTAGCATTTTGAAGCTGTTGCTGCACTCTTTTACATCCCCGCAATGTAAAAGAGTCATAATTTCTCAATATCCTTGTTATTGTCTTTTTATCTTTTTTAGCTTTACTAGTGGGTATAAAGTTTGCGGTTTTCACTTGACAACCTTATTGTCCATTTTTTTATCCTTTGGGGAGAAATGTCTGGTGAGAGCCTTTACCTATTTTTTAAATGGGTTATCTATTATGCTTTAGGAATTCTTTTTATATTCTGAGTATAAATCTCATCAGATGTATAACTTACAAATTTTTCTCTCCCATTCTCTGGGTATTTGTTTCATTTTGCTGATGATATTGTTTGATGGGCCTTTCCCTTTTGAATCATCTGGGAGCCCTGCAAGTCAACTCTATACTGTCAGAAACTATCCAAAACTACCTGTGTGCCCCTTTTAATTGAATGGTGGGGAATGTTTGTTCTTTGCAGGCAGCAAAGGGTTTGATCTCAGTAGTGTTGTGAGCCTATTTGACTTTGTCCGCTAGGTGTCGCCCCGTTCTCATCTCTATAAGCCTCTGGGACTTTCTTCCCACTTTGCAGTGCAAGCAATAAGGATCCCAGTAAATTAATCTGTCTTTAAGCTTCAAAGGACTTTATCCCAAAAAGAATTCTGAACATAGAATATCATATTACTTTACTTTAAAATATTCTAGTCTTAGCTGGTTTGGCTTAGTGGATAGAGTGTCAGCTTGAGACTGAAGGGTCCTGGGTTCGATTCTAGTCAAGGACACATGCCTGGACGTGGGCTTGATCCCCAACGAGGGGAGTGCAGAAGGCAGCTGACGAATTATTCTCTATCATCATTGATACTTCTATCTCTTTCTCCCTCTTTGAAATCGATAAAAAAATATTTTAAAAATATAATATTCTAGTGGTTTCCCTTCACACTTAAGTCTCGTGTGGATTTATTTTATTTTATAATGACTGATATGATTTGGTCTCTGGTTACGTCTCTAACTCATCTCCTATCCTTTCCCCCTTACTCAATCTGCTCTAGTGTCTCCTCCACTAGCTTCCTTCCCTTTTGTTTAACACAAGCAAATTCTCATCTTAGCACTTTTGTACTTCCTGTTTCTTCAGCCTGGAGAAGCTTTGCTTATATTCTTAAAATTTGCTCCCACAGTTTATTTAGGTCTCTGCTTAAATTTCACCTTCTCAAAGAGGCCTTCTCCAGCTACCCTCTCACATCAGCAGCCTCTAGCACTCTTCTGCTTTACTCTGCTTTTTTTTCTTTTTATAGCACTTTGTAGTCACTTTTATTACAGGTCTACTTGTTTAGTATTTGTAGCTCCTACTACAAGATCCATGAGGGTTGCCTAGTTGGTGTGGATGTGTGCTTGAGTGTCAACCTATGCACCAGAAGGTCACCAGTTCAGTTCCTAGTCAGGGCACATGCTCAGGTGGTGGGCTCAGTTCCCAATGGGGGACATGCAGGAGGCAGCTGATTGATGTTGATGTTTCTCTCTCATCATCATCAATGTTTCTATCTCTCTCTCTCTTTCTCTTAAAAAAAAAATCTATGAGGGCCTGGACTTTTGTTCTATCCTATATGTCTGCCTATATGAAGTAGGCATTTAGTTATACTTGAATGGTTTAGTCAACAGACTCCTTTTGTAATTGCCCATGTGTATTCATTCTCTCAAGATATACATATCTGTAGGAATTGTATTTCAAAGTACACAAAAACACAAAATTCTATTTTTTATCCCCAAAATAGTTGCTACTCTTGGCTTGCCTTAGGGGTATTCCTTCTCAGTAACATCTTTTGATTTTGAGGGGGTCCCAAAAATAGACTTATATTTTGCCTCTTGGCCTTTATTTCTTAGTTTGCTTTGTATCAGGAGTAGTCAGATGCTTAGCCTTCACTAGAAAAGTGAACCAATGATCCTGCCTTCTAGAGGCGGGCTCACTACACTGTATCTTCTAGTGATGGGCTATAAGAAGAAGGTGCTGGTGAAAACTTCTACTCTTATTAAGCATCATGGCAGATTAAAGAACAAATCTACTACTCAATCTTGACATCCTTGCTTGGATCTTCCATTCAGACAGTTACTTATAAGAGTTCTTCCTTCAGCCACAAAATAGAATATAATACTACAGGTATTCATTATAATCTTCCTGCATAGACACCATAAAAAGAACATTCAGGAGAGTCCATTTTATTTATTCTCTCCTCTTTGCATCACCTTCAAAATTTCCTAGATATACTAATAATCATCCAAGTTGTACCTTCTTTAATTTCTCCTTATACATCAAAATAGCAAAAAAAAATTAAATTTTAAATTAAACGACTATTTTCAAACTATTCTGTCACCCTAGTTCTTTTAATGTTCTGTCACATAGTTCAGTATACAGAATCCAGATGCTCATGGTAACTAGTTCTGGTCTCATTCCTTCTACACCCAGAATGACAGGGTTGCCACCCAGTTGGTTGTGAGCATTCGTGTACAAGGAGACAAACGTCTCAGCAGTCTGCGCCGCTGCTGTGCCCTTACCCGCTACGATGCTCACAAGATGAGCCATGATGCATTTGCAGTCATCAGGAACTGTAATACTTCAGGAACCCAAACCGAATGGTGAGTTTCTTTCTAGCTCATCTTTTCAGAAGAGACTTGTACTCTATCTTGCTCTAAAATTAGTGGGTAATATAAACTTCCCAGCTAGGGTAGTTGTGACTCTGGCTAGCAGGACCTATTACAGAGAGCAATAGTCATGCACAATAGGAGAGAAGCACAGTAGAAACACCAGCAAAAAGACAGCTCAGCTGCAACTTCTTTGCCTACACTTGGTGCAATCCAATTCCCAGG